CGGGGAGCCATTAGGCTGCGTCTCAGATATCCGCAGTTGAGATCCATAATTAACCATTCCCCTTCGCGCAAGGTGTTACACCATGTCACTGACAGGCAAGGCTACCCATAGATATGAGATGATTGTCACATGATCTGATAAAGGCTGTGTGCTGACCGCACTCGTGCCATGTTATGTCCTGTTCATGCTACAAAATCAGTGTGTGGCCGTCTGATCACCATCTCACGTCTATGGCCAGACTTAGGCACTAATGAAAATACTCAACAGTACAAAAAGCACCGGTCAACCATGGTCACGGAGAGTGGTACGTGGAGGGGAATCAGTAAAAACACTTGACAACCTGCATGGTTTACCAGAATTATTAGATCCGGTTTATTTTTCATGGTTTTAAAGCTGAACTACCGGCAGATATGTACAAAACGCAGTTATGTATTCACTGGACAGAAGTGTAAATGTATCTGAAATGCAGAGTAGCTGGATTCCTCTTGCTGTCAGCCTCACGTAATCCCGGGTACAGTGGCTCTTGAGAGGCAGCACTAGAAGCCAGTCAGCCTATAAGCAGAACGCAGTGATGGCTCCTCAAGTATGCTGCTGTTTACGGTCCAATCAGCAGGCTGGGGGTGTATCCTTGACCACATTTGGTCTCTTTCACATGGGTGGTCCAATCGGGTCCACCTGTCAGTTTTTCAGGTGGATCCAATGAATTGCCCAATGCTCGTCTATGGGCAGCCGGTTCTCAACAAATGGGCGTCCGTTTACACCCAGTTACCCCGACCCTGGCCAGGTCCAGAGAAACAAACTGAACCCTGATGGAGGGGGGTAATGTGATGTGATGTAAATGGACACATGTATGTTTACATCTGATTCCCCATAGACCAAGTCCGGCAGTTTTAGTTCTTTCCTCCATTGCGAGATGGAAGAAAAAAAACTGGATGGACGCGTATGTCACAGTGGTGACATCTGATCCGTACCATTCCGATCAGAAAGGGATCCATACACTGATCAGCCCATGTGACAGGTGCCTTGTAATGCTGCTGCAGCGGAGGTCACGAAGGTGTCTGATAGAAATGAATCCTAAATCTTTCGATGGTTAAAAAAAAGAAAACCCCCCTTACCTTATATGTATTTCAACTGTGTATTGAGCTGCTTGTCTGGAGCTCAGCTTTACATCAGAACTAAACTTCCTTCTGGCTGGTTCTGAAATCTTCACCTGGCTTTCTTTCAGGATCTTCGGCCATCTTGATTGGCCAGAATGACGTAACTCCTCCACATGCACGCAGGAGTTCATTCATTCCGGCACCGAGGTGTGCCAAGAATGTACACTGAGCTGCTTATGTGTACATTCTAAAGATTGCAAACAGGCAGCGAAGTCTGTTTTATTACAGAAGAGACAGAGCAGGTCTCCCCTGAAATACAGAACCTGTAAATAAATTGTATTTATAGCCAAAACCTTTTCTTCAGTTTTGCCTAGTGTAGGGAGGGGTTAAAAATGATACTAAACTCTGGAGTTAAATCTTAAAATACATTCAAGTACTATAACTATGAACAACAATGTATCTTATTTGTGTATTACTCGGCTGTAGAGCCTCAAATCATCTCTGAATTGGTGCTGACACTGCCCTTCCTTCTGGAGGGGGGCTACTTATGTTCCCCATGGTCCCTGTGTGTGTTGTAAAGTAGTAAAGTAGTCACCCCTCCAAGCTCACTCTTGTGATGGACTACAATCTCACATTTGGTTTACTCATTTGTATTGAGATTGTAGTCCATCACAGGAGTGAGCTTGGAGCGGTGACTACTTTACAACACACACAGGGACCATGGGGAACATAAGTAGCCCCCCTCCAGAAGGAAGGACAGTGTCAGCACCAATTCAGAGATGATTGGAGGATCTACAGCCGAGTGATACACAAATAAGAGACATTTTTGTTCATAGTTAAGGTAATTGAATGTATTTTAAGATTTAAAGGAGAACTATTGGGTCAGTATTGGGTCCCCATAGTTCTCCCCAGGGTCACGGGAGGAGATAAACTAGCGTCCTCCTGTGACCCAAAGCTCAGTATATTGCGAGCTAGAGCTCTCTGTATACTGCGACCGCCACAGCCGGGACGGATCATGACATTACTGTGGAGATCCACCCAGCTATGTGACTGACAGCTGGCTCTGCCTATCTAGAGGCAGAGCCAGCTCTACCCGCCCCCTCCCATGTCCGTTCTTCGAGTCAGCGCTGGAGGATCGGACGGGGGGGGGGAGGGGGGAATCCCTGCGCTCTCTGCAGGGACATGATCGAGAAGTGAGCGAGTGACGGTATGTGTTCACAGTTTCAGTGTCACACGTCGACTACAACTATGAGGGTGAGTGACAATCACTCACCTCATAGTTCTCCTTTTAACTCCTGAGTTTAGTGTCACTTTAAACCCCGTTGTTAACCTTTTCCTGTCCGTTTCCCCTTGGGGACTTCCTGCCATGGAGATGCAACAGAAGCCACAGAATTTCTCAACAAATGTCCTCTTACAGTTGTCCGTGGAAGAGGAGTCCCTACAGTGCTTAGTTTTATAATGTTGGATTTCCCTTCGCTGTCTCTGTAACACTGGTCCCCAACACACATAGAGAGGGTGAATCTACCTACCGGGCCACAGACCGCAATACAAACATTACAGGGACGCTCACCTTCCTACGTCATCCATTAAAGTTCTGGCTATACATACAGGTTATATTTTCTTTCAGCTTCATTGTGTGAAAAGTTTTTATTGTTACTTAAATGGTTATTTATACAGAAAGAACGCACAAATGATTGTTGTTTTTTAGTTTGTGTTTTTTAATTAATTATTATTATTTGTTCAGCTCTACCAAGAGCAAAAGTGAACGCTGAACTCCGGGATAAAAGAACGTTGTCTGAATACAAGAGTTGTGACTTTTCACTGGAGAGCTTTGTATATTTCTTCCAGATCTGTGCAGTAATCCGGTGTGAGACTTGACCTCTGTGCAGGAGCTTCCTGTAACAAAGACCAGTCACTGCTGCTCTCTCTCCTTGTGCAGGGTGACTGGTCTTCTCTCCACCCCCTCCTGTAATAAAGACCGGTCACTGCTGCTCTCTCTCCTTGTGCAGGGTGACTGGTCTCGTCTCCACCCCTTCCTAGGTTTCTGTAGTGGGAGGGGCCTGCTTGGTCCCTCCCACAGCTCTGCTCTCTACCCAGGCTATGTGCAGCACAGTGATGATGTCACCACTACTTTCATAGCTGGATATGCAAAAGCATTGGGCACATTCAAAGTGGATTCCTATCCTTTGTGGCTATTGAGGAATATTTTTTAATAGCAGTTTATTTGCCCGGAGTTCAGCTTTACATTCGATCACATGACTGTACAACTCAACACGGGGGTGCCTTATATGAGACGTTTACTGAGAGGAGTGACTTGAACGCACCAAAACCAATTATTTATTATCATTT